ACGTGACGTGGCTTCCCTCTATCTTTTCTGTAAATATTTTCATGGCAACTGTTCTGATGAACATTCCTTCTTGGTGCCTTGACGGTATGAATTTAAGCGTGCTACTAGATTGGCATTTAGGTCTCACCGTTTTACTGTTGAACTATTTCTACTGTTAAATTTTAATAATTTTTTTCTCGCACTTCTCGCCTGTGAAACACCCTTCAGATTTCTCACCTCCCTGTCATCTACAATTTTCAAAAGTTTAAACGCAGCACCAATCGCCATATTCCGTCTTCCTCAAGCTCCCCTCCTTATTGTCCTTTCTCCTCACTTCTCACTAAATTCTTGCCATGCTCTTTCACTTCCAGTAACCCCAGAGGCAATGTCACCTTGCTTGGAGTGTAATAAGTAAGAAAAATGATTGTATATGGATAACGGAAATTATACCAAGGGAAGAACGAACTGTTAGTAGCAGGCATGATTTTCTAAGCATACGTTAATATTTGAGTAGGTTCAGATTCTGTGTTATTTCTTTGAAAGAATTTGAACGACGAAAGCGAGACCAAAATACACGCGACTCAGATATATTAGACTACCATAGAACCAATCATCACGTCTAAATTTCCGTTTTATTTTTATGATGTCTAAATATTTGATAAGTTAGTTGGCCGGACCATCAGACAATTGCCGCTAAAGCCAAATACTTATACTATTACTATTAGTAGTTCATTAGGTAGCATTCTGTCATGTGTCGAGTCGAATTGACACGTCAGAAGTTTAAACACACTCACACTTCATACACTCACACACACATACATATATATATATTAATCATTTCACCTTAAGCAAGGCAATAAAGCCACTAAGGTGCAAGGGGTTACTGAGTGTGAACGAATATGAGAAAAACAAAATATTATTAAGAAGAGATTACGAAGACTGAAGTTAACGATTGATATCTCTCTTTATTTCTGAGATAAGGTATTGTAATTATTTACACTTTGTACATTGTTTGGATTGTTGTTCTCTTCTGCGTTGCCCTATTCACGACGTTTCGGCTATTGTACGGTCTTCTTCAGGTGATTGGAATTTCGAACGGAACCCTTTATTTCATCCACCGGAATAGATTGTTCTCGTTCCATGTGTTATGCATCTTTAGAGTGTCTTATTATCAGTTATCTCCCTTTAACTCAACTCTCCAAGTTTTTGCTCACCTCTGCTGTAGCCATGTATTGAACTCACAACTCTTTCGGTCAAGTCAATGGATTCAAGCAACGTTTTTATCCACTGGTCCAGGTGTCTTCAAGGACGAAATAAAAGGTTCAATTCGAAATTCCAGTCACCTGAAGAAGGCTAAAGCGCACAGCGACTGAAACAGTCTGAGCAATGTAAATAGTGTAAATAACAATTGACATTGCATTTAAATTAAGGACCTCCACTAAATTTTCGATACCTAAGGTTTAAAATGGATTTAAAAAATGAAAAAGCATCTTTGAAGCTTTCTTTTTAACTGAAAGCTAAATGATTACATTTACTATTTCCGGTAAGTATGCATGCATGTGGCAATCGTCGGGTAAGGGACAATTGCCATGGCCTGAATCACTGAGTTGTATCAAACGGCGAGGTACAAAATATATACTTATTATTATTATGAATTTTAGTTCAGTTTTATTTACGTCGAGCATTGTTTTCTTTCATCACCATCTCGACACGATGTTAGTAGCTGGATTTTGAACTGATTTTCACGTTATGTTGTTCGGCAAATATGATTAAAATTAGCAGGATTTTGATCTGAGATTTTCACTGTATAGTGTTCGGCAAACGTGATTAATATTCATATTATCAAACTGAGGTCATTGATAAATAAGGAGGCTATGTTGAGAAATCAATATTTGTTGTGAGAAATAAATGTTTGTTGCTATTATTACATGTGTCGGCGGATGCAATAGTTCATGTGTAAATTGCTTATCATTGAGTGGGCAGAGAGATGACTTTTCTGTATTTTTGTTGGTTCATTGCTAGGGGCTATTTCAGTTTTCGTTATTTTTTCTTTCATTACAAAGCAAATGTGTCGCAATGGGATAGGGGGGAAGACATAAGTTTGTAATTCTCTTGTGAGGCAACCAAAAATATCCAGATTGCATTGTCGCAGGAACAATATTAAATGTTTAAAGTCAGAAAGGAAGAGCACAAATATGGTGCTTCAAGATCGATCCATCTATGTATCCATCTCAGTCCTCTTTTATCTATCTATCTATCTATCTATCTATCTATCTATCTATCTATCTATCTAAGTCTTCTTCCGTCTTCTTTTCTCTCTCTCTGTCTGTCTATCTATCGATCTATCTCAGTTGTATCAGATTCATCTGTCCCATGTGCATCAGATCTATCTATCTATCTATCTATCAGTTTTCTTTTATCTATGTATCCATCTCAGTCCTCTTTTATCCATCTATCTATCTATCTATCTATCTATCTATCTATCTATCTATCTATCTATCATCAGTTTTCTTTTATCTATGTATCCATCTCAGTCCTCTTTTATCTATCTATCTATCTATCTATCTATCTATCTATCTATCTATCTATGTCTTCTTCCGTCTTCTTTTCTCTCCCTCTCTCTCTCTCTCTCTCTCTCTCTCTCTATCTATCTATCTACGTCTTCTATTATCCACCTATCTATCCTAACCTGTTCTTCCAGTTGGTTGGGATATTCTTGTGTCCGAACTGAGATAATTATATTCCGTGGTCTGTGTACGGGTCTCATTAATAGCCACTTATAAATTTGATTTTTCTGTAAGTCGATTTTTTCTTCTACCCACATCGAATCTTGGCGTAACACAGTCTTTTTTTGTTGCCTCATTCTATCGCATTCGGGAGTGTTAGGCTCAGTAAACCTCGAGAGAATTGCGTGTTGACCTGTTATTTGTTTTTGCCTGCGGTGTGTATTCTCTTCGCCATAACATGAATCCCGGGATAATGTACACTGATCTAAAAATAAAGTAAAAAATGGCATTTGATAGAATCTCACATACTTGACCGCACAAATTTATAAAAAAAAATCAATGGTGTATATTTTGCCTCAAGAGAGTTTTTGCTTTGCTGGTTGCAATACAGTGTTGGCAAAAGACCATGACGAAATGAAAGTGGCCATCAAGCAAGATATTTTCCGAGGCGTCTGCTTGTCTCTGTTTCTTTCCACCTTGTCTCTCTCAATGTAAAGCAACATGCTTGACAGAAAGATTTGTAGTAGACAATAGGCAATGATTCAGGCATCCCTTCTTGCGCATGAATGAATCGTTCAGGAAGGATGGAAATCAAACTCGAGACTGTTTGGAGACAGTGAATTTTCCAGGGATGACATCTAAATGGAGTTTCGGCTTGACAAGCGCACATTGGCAATTTGGCAATTTGCGAACATGGTCATGTTCAGTTAAAAATATATTTCCAAAATCTCCAAGTCTAAAAATAATCACTCGGATAAGAATATTGTCAGAAGAAAAAAATAAAAGAGACCAGAACGGGACTGAGAAAATGGAAAAAAAAAAAAAAAAGAGTAAAAAGTTTGTTAAATATTTCGAGTTTGCCAGAAAGTTTGCAAAAGTGCCGAAGTTGTGTAGATAGATAGATAGATAGATAGATAATGGAGAACCTGAGATAGATACATAGATAATTAAGAGAATAGATATACAAATAGTAATCAGAGATAGATAGATAGATAGATAGATAGATAGATAGATATGAGAAGGCTGAGATAGATATACACACTCGACGATAATGTATATAGATCTAGATAATCAAATATAGGTAGGTCGATAGATAATCTCGAATATAGGGAGATAGGCTACCTTTCAATATATATATATATATATATATATATATATATATATATATATATATATATATATATATATATATATAGAGAGAGAGAGAGAGAGAGAGAGGTAGGAAGAGACTTAGATAGATATGAACAGACCGAAATAGATTTAAGTACTCGAAGATAATGTAGACCATCGAATATAGATATCATAGATAATCTTGAAGATAGATAAACTACCTATAGTATCAAACACGCATACACACACACACATATATATATATATATATATATATATATATATATATATATATAGATAGATAGATAGATAGATAGATAGATATAAACAGATTGAGATAGATTTAAACACTAGAAAATAATGATAGATAGATAGATAGATAGATAGATAGATAGATAGACATGATTAGAAAGATGAAATAGGTAAAAAAGGATCCTGAGAGATTTCAACGAAAGGAAGAATTTGCGAGGTTGAAAAGAAAGAAAGAAAAAAGGAAAAATCGTAAAAGTTGAATATGAGATTGAAAGAAAGAAAGAAAGAAAGAAAGAAAGAAAGAAAGAAAGAAAGAAAGTAGGATTTTAGAAGACACAGCCACGTGCTTTGAAAGAAAAATAAACAGGGAGAATTTATTGAATAAATAAAGAATTGCAATCCACGTTCTGATGTCATATCCGACGTAGACAGGTACTTCAGCTAGTAATTATAATAATCTCTTTCAGTTATTTATTGCCGTGTCAGTTTTAGAGTTTTTTTTATGCGTTTTTAATTCGACCAATTAACGAATTAATTCGATCAATTAAAGACTTCAATAGTTGACCGGGTTATTTGGCTATGTGTTTGACTAATTTTCGCTCTAAATCGATATACAATTTGAAGAATTCATAAAATCTACTTTTCATCTGAATTTAAAATGAAGCCTGAAACATGAAATTGGAACATAACTCATATAGGGGGGGTGAACATCTTCTGTTATACTTTTCACTCTGAAACCTGCTGTTGCCTCTCTTTGCCGTGATATTCCTTTGGTCCAAGTTTCGTCTGAGACCGTGTCTCATGGTCAACATTTATGCATCAAAGCTGTTTTTTCCCCCTTGAAAAAGAACAAATAATCGAGAGCCACCACCTCTCCCACCGGTCGTTTTTACATTTTGTGCACCTTTCAACTTTTTCTGTTTTCAAAGTCTCATGTCAACGGACGCGCCAGTTTCTTTGTAGATTTGCGGCTGACTCAGAGAATTAGTCGACAGACGCTATCTTCAAACGAATAGGGCCAACCGTCGTCAAGTTATTTCCTTCACTTTAAGATCCCCCATTTAAAAACAAAGCAAAACTGTTTTTGTTCCTTCTTAATTGTTTATTTTATATGGATGTTTTAACGTTAAACAAAAACTAACGCAAGAAGACTATGATATTTGAAGGAAAATTGTACCGGCTTCAGATATGTGCATTTTAGTTTGTTATTAGTTTTAACGCACCAAATGCTTCCACTATACAGAGATGAGAGAAAATGTTAGTAGAACAATCCAATTCATAGAAATGCGTATTTCTTTCTTTCTTTCTTTCTTTCTTTCTTTCTTTCTTTTCAACTTCCGAATTTTTTCCATTTTTGCATTCAGCTTTCTTTTTATTTTTTTTTTCATTCAAACGAGGTAGCCATCTTTTCCTTTTACTTATGACATATTTCTTCGTTTCTTTCTTTCAATTCAACCACCAAAATTCTTATTTTCGTTCAAATCTTTCAACTTTCTTTTTGCTATTTTTCTTTCATATTTTGTCGATATCTTTTCTTTCTTCTTCTAGTAATTCACTTCCTTCCTTCCTTTTCGTACTTCCACCTCTTTTCATCTCATATCCCAGGTTTTACTTTCATCCTTGCTTGCTTTTTTCTTCTTTCTTTCAAGCCCTCTCTTCCCGAACTTCTTTCTTTCTTTCTTTCTTTCTTTAACAGCTCTTTTTCCACCAGTATGTTTACTGTTTCTTTCTTTCTTTCTTTCTTTCTTTCTTTCTTTCTTTCTTTCTTTCTTTCTTCTTGCATTTCTGTGGATCTTCTGCTCAATGAAACGTCAATATTCATCTTCATTTCAAAATTCTTCAGTTCAAAATCATTTTCTTGGCATTGAATTCTTCACCTCAACAAACTGAGCTTGCCAAAGAAGCCTTCGATGGTACCACTCCGACCCCCTCAATCATTGTCTTCCTGCTTCTTTTAATGTGCTATCCTTTCCTTCTTTATGCAATTGTTTTCTATTTAATCGCTTACAACAAATATTAACCCTAATTGCTGCACAACATAAGATCAATAGAAATTCCTAACACCATTAGGCAATGAACAACATAAACTTTTACGAATATTTAGAAATGGCGGCAAGAATACCGGCTCTCCATATGGCAGTGAATGCTGGAAAATCTCCTCACAGATGTAGAAGAGACTTGAAGCAACAGAAATGGTTCTACAGAAGGATGATGAGAATCAATGGCCTGAACATGAGAGCAACAACGAAGTCATAGAGTATATGGAAACAAAAAGGACACTTATACTTAACATCAGGAAGAGACATGTTGAAACTTCTAGGGCATATAATGAGGAAAGGGAGCTAGGAAATTTTGATACCCATAAGGCAGATTGAAAGCAAGATGGGCAGAGGAAAACAAAGGCATTAACTACCTCGCGAGCTTTTGTAAATGTATGGCGGAATAAGGTTTAAAAGAGATAACAAAAAAGACAAAATTTATTGACAGGGAATTATGGAGAGCCATGATCACCAACGTCCTGAAGGGACACGGCACATAGAAGAATAAGATAAGATACCTACCGTAAGAAAAAATCGATTTCATTCTGTCTAGGAAAACATTACCATTTTAAATATGTCTTACTCTACACATATGCCATAGTAGGCCGATGCTTACACTAAACATAAGCCAATGTAGACCGATGAAGGTTCGAGAAATTTTAATTGCTGATGCACAACACCTGTAAGGATGCTATAGGCAATTATCAACCTTCTGACAGGAAAACTGTTTTTCTTTTATGAACCATGTACCTTCAAAACATCGCTGATCGTGGCTCTCCACAACTTCCTAACTTTTGCAGCTATTAGTTATGCTTATCTATTACTGTCTCACCCACTGCATGTTCTGTCATCCATTTACACAAGCTCGTTAGGTTGGTTAATCACTGTTTCACTCTGATCCGCTTGCTTTCAAAATGCCCTTTGAGTGTCAAATCCTCTAAGTCTTCTTTCCTCATTATGCGTCGTAGATATTTTAATTGTTGCTTTCTGATTCTATGTATGTTTCCTTTTTATTGCCATTTTTCTTACTTTTGTCTTAAGGGGCTCTTGATGATCGCGTGATAGCCAGTTGGTAATAATAGTTCTTGCTTGTCTTCCCAGGGAGTATGACGCGTGTCCGATACGTTCAAAAGAGGAACCGTAGAGATACTACACGGCTGTATTGTGCCATTCTTGGGGCGTACTTTGTATTAATTTTCTTCACATACCGCTTGCCTTCTTAAATTTCTCTGTGTCGGGTAATTTGTAATTGATATATATATATATATATATATATATATATATATATGTGGGGTGCAGTTCAATTTATATTACAATGAATCATTCATACAAAAAGTAAATTAGTAAAGTTAATGATATAAAATGGCGAATTCCCTTCAATAACCAAATTTCTAAGATGCATTAATCTACTAATCACTCGATGAATGTTATGATACTTGTTTTTTTTTTTAATTATAAGCTGTATAAGGTCTTTCTTAAATACGCAAGTACTTTCGACTGTACATCCAGTCATCTTCAGCCTTGGAAATTATTTTGTTTTTGATAAAATTCATGTAGCATCCAAGACGAAAAGATATAATGCGAATCCAAATAAGTTTTTTTTCTTTGTTTAATGCTTCACTGATTCTGTGAGTAATGGCAGTTCGGATATCCGTAGTGGACTGAACCGAGCGAATGTTTGTCGCTAGAGTTGTTAAATATTTACACACTATTCTTATCTGAAGTATTTAAATCCATAAGGTATTTAAATGACGTCAATATTGGTTAATGTGTTGCGAGGAAATCGGGTTGCTCATCATTCTCAGCTAGGGGCGGCAATTCTACAAACTGTTATGGTCCGGTTCCTTGTACCACGGTGATAGTCCAAGGTAGAACCAATAAAGAAGAACTCGAATACGGATATGGAATAACACTGATATATTACAAACAGGAATATATACAGAGAATTAGAAGTGTTAGTATGAACAATCAGGTTTAGTAGGGAGAACAATGTAGTCTCGACCAGTATCACTATTCCAATGTCTTGTAGTAATTGTCTGAAACGCGACTCTGTTTCGGACTGCCTCTGACTCGACTGACTGACTCGCTCGCTCTGATTGACTGACAGACTTTGACGGACCTCACTCCAGACTTCAGAATGAACAGTATTTAGTCACCCACCCTCACAACGGCATCATGTGGCACAAGGCCGGTTTAACGTGGGATCTCTGAGCCCGTGGGATCTCTGAGCCCGTGGGATCTCTGAGCCCGTGGGATCTCTGAGCCTGTGGGATCTCTGAGCCAAAATATCGGCCAAAATATGCCCTTTGAACCCGTATAAACGGGTTCAGGGTCGGTTTACCTCCCCGAAAGAGACTCCGCCCTTCGGCGTAGCCTCGTTCGTGTTCCTCCCCTCCCGAAGGCAGAGAGTTCAACCGATCAGCCGATCAGCCGGACCTCCGACTTCGGACTGAACTCTTTGCTTCCTCTTGAGGCGCGGTATTTATTACGTATGAAATAGTCCATTATGTTATTATGGGTAAGGTCTTATAACACAAACTAAAGCCGATCTAAATCCACTTTTATGCCGGCAGTTGAAAAGAACAATCCAGTGAAACAGTGGATTATACCAATAATAACTGGAGAAACAAATTAAACAAAAGAGAATTACAGACGGGAAAAAAAAACATCAAGAAAGAAAATAGGAAAATGAGAAGTGAAAAAAGAAAGAAAGAGTTGGGTGATTTGAAGGAAGGCTCATAAGAAAGAAACAAAGTAATAGATAGAGAGAATGATATATATATATATATATATATATATATATATATATATATATATATATTCAGATTTAGCGGGCATTTGGGAGATATTATTTTTCACACATAATTGCCACGTCTTAAATAACATGATCCAATAGAGAAATAAATAAATTTTCACCAATAACACTGATTTATTTACTGCTGACTTTGATCCGTCTTAATGAAACACCCTTATCTATATAATCTGTCTTAATGAAACACCCTTTATATATATATATATATATATATATATATATATATATATATATAAATGTTTGAGTGAGGCTGACTTGAACATCGGGATCAACTACGTGCAAATATTAAAGAAAGTTGTCAACATCCTGCTCCTCCCAGTGATAGCCTTACCTGCCTTAATGTGAATTAAGTTTAAGCGTCTAATTATTTTTTTCTTTTTCTTTCAGATTTGGCGGACATTTAGGTGATATTATTTTCCATGACTTAAATAACATGATCCAATAAATACATTTTCACCAATAACACTGATTTAGTTCGTGCTGACTTTGATCCGTGTTAATGGAACACCATATATATATATATATATATATATATATATATATATATATATATATATAGAGAGAGAGAGAGAGAGAGAGAGAAAGAGAGATAGAGAGATATATATAGAGAGGGGGTGAGAAAGAGAAAGAAACAGAAAAGAGAAGAGAAAATATCGAAAAACCGAATCATAAAAGTAAATGACAATACAGAAAAGAGAAAGAAATCAACAGAAAGAAAGAAATCAATATTTTCTATTTGTGTCCAGAGGAGGGAAAGTGTGGAGGACAAAATCAAAGAAGAAAAAGAAATCGATAGTAATTGACAATTTGTTAATATCGACGAAATGTATCAATTTTATTGACTGCTCAATAAAAAGCGATAACAGAAATCTGGTACCATTCGTTCATTTTTAACACAATATTTTTTGGCGCGGAAATTTGGAAATTACATTCACCTCCATTTTTGTGACAATTTTCACAAAAAACAATCTTCATTTTGTCTTCTACGTTTCTTAGTTCGAAAACAAGTTCGAATCATTCACACAAAAAGTTAATTAGTAAAGTTAATGATAAAAAATTTTAAAGATGCATTAACCTACTAATCACTCGTTGAATGTTATGATACTTGTTTTTTTTTAATTATAAGCTGTATAAGGTCTTTCTTAAATACGCAAGTACTTTCGACTGTACATTCAGTCATCTTCAGCCTTGGAAATTATTTTGTTTTTGATAAAATTCATGTAGCATCCAAGACGAAAAGATATAATGCGAATCCAAATAAGTTTTTTTTCTTAAATGTGTTATTGTTAACAGATACAAACTTTTGGAGCGTGCAATTGGAACGCTAAAGTTCAATTTTTTGAAAATTTAAGTGAGTGCGTTTTTTTACTAATATAGTAATTTGAGAATTTTTTGTTGTAGAAGTTTATCAGTCAATGGTGGCATGGACTTAGGAAAGTTTCACATAAAAGTAGCGAAAAAAAATTTTTTCTTTTTTATTACGAAAATAAAAATTACTAAATTTAGCACAAGACTACTTATCAGCTGTTGTAAAAAAAAAAAACAATTTCGGAATGGACCCAATTCGAAAAGAAATAGAATGTTAGGGACGTAAATGGAAAAGAAAAAGGGAGGAAATTCTTCTTATTAATTGAATACTGGCCTTTAAGCCGTATTGTTGCTTTGTATAAGAATAATCTGGATCGATAAACTCTTCGACCGTTAAAGAAAACATGAACTAGAAAAAAAGGAAAGAAAAGAAAAAAAGAAACAGTTTCAGAAGCTTGAAGCTGTGCCCCGGATTAAAACTTACATTATTTACACACACACACATTTACACACACACACACACAAATCAACATACGCATTCCACTTGTATATAGACACAAATGAAGTCACATACATAAACGTATTAGCAATTGCACAGATATACCACACTGATCTATCTATCTATCTATCTATCTATCTATCTATCTGTACCTCTTACTATCTATACCTCTTTTTTTCCATCTATCTAGGATTACATCTATCTATCTATCTATCTATCTATCTATCTATCTATCTATCTATCTATCTATCTATCTATCTATCTAAGTAATTCTATTCACTATCTATCTATCTATCTATCTATCTGTACCTCTTACTATCTATACCTCTTTTTTCCATCTATCTAGGATTACATCTATCTATCTATCTATCTATCTATCTATCTATCTATCTATCTATCTAAGTAATTCTATTCAATATCTATCTATCTATCTATCTATCTATCTATCTATCTATCTGTACCTCTTACTATCTATACCTCTTTTTTTCCATCTATCTAGGATTACATCTATCTATCTATCTATCTATCTATCTATCTATCTATCTATCTATCTATCTATCTATCTATCTAAGTAATTCTATTCACTATCTATCTATCTATCTATCTATCTATCTATCTAAGTAATTCTATTCACTATCTATCTATCTATCTATCTATCTCTCTATCTATACCTTGTTCTTTCGTTCCTTCTACCTATTTATCTATTTAAACTTCTTTCTATCTATAACTTTCTATCTATGTGTTTCTTTCCATCTTTGTAACTATTTATCTATTCACATCACGTTCTTATTCTCTGTCTGACTTTCTTTCTATCTATATCTCTATCTTCCTTTTCATCTAGCTATATCTCTTTCTTTCATTCTTTCTTTCTTTCTTTCTTTCTTTCTATCTCTCTATCTATCTATATATCTACATAATGATATGGTGGGTGTGGAGGCAATAATCTTACGATCTTTAAAGTCACGTACGAATTACAAAAGCAGACTAAAAAGAATTAATCTCCACATGACCTGTTCTGTCGCAAAACGGTCCAAGCAGCTTATTGTTCGGACAAATCCATCTGTTCCCCAACCCCAGAAACAAAAACAAAAACAAAATAACATAAATAAATAAATAAATAAAAGTAAGCAGAAAATTGACTTACGTAAAGAATAAAAAAAAAAAATTAAATATTAAAAACAATTCCAAGGAAATGAGACAGAAAAACGAAACGAAACGAAAAAAAATCAATTCTTATTAGCCAGCCGAGGCTATTTTATCTGTAAACAATTGAGTAGCAACGAGTCTGGACCTTTAATCTAAAGATTGCATTATTCCGAGTTGAAAACAATGATCTGTGTTCTTTGCTTCAGTCCGTTGGGACATTGAAAGAAAGAAATTTATTTAGGAGGATAGCAGGATTCGTGAGATAAAAGATACAACTGACGAACTCATGATTGATACTTTTTCTGTCTATCAATCTATGGTGGGTAATTGAATGATAAAAATAGAAAACATCCTTGGAAAGAAATTCATTAGACTAAATAATGTTTTTTTTTTTTATTTTTTATTGGTGGAATCATATAATTGAAGGGCCAACGAAATAAAACAAATGTTGGTTGTAATTATACATTGAGAACGCTGAGGATCTATGATTGGTGAGCCTCTAACGGTCCGCCACTCGTAACATTGCGGAGACGGACATGCCGGCGGCCAGACAGAGGGTCAGACAGAGGGCCACCAGCGGCAAACGCTAGTTGTATACCACCTAGTGGCAGATTGGTGGCTTGCGTGTAGGGTAAGAATTATATCCAAGCTTCACAAGCAGTCACCCATCTAGGTACTGGCGAGACTTGACGTTACTTAACTTCGGTGATAGTAGAGGAACCGCTATTTCAACGTGATATAACTGTACTCCTCTATCTAGGATGTACTTCACCTGGCAAAATCTATCTATCTATCTATCTATCTATCTCTATCTATCTATCTATCTATCTATCTATCTATCTATGTTTGATCATTATCTATCTATCGATATCAGTTTCTTCAATATCTATCTATCTATCTATCTATCTATCTATCTATCTATCTATCTATCTATACCGGTTTGTTTATTATCTATCTATCTATACCGGTTTGTTTATCTATCTATCTATCTATCTATCTCTGTTTGATCATTATCTCTCTATCGATATCAGTTTCCTCATTATCTATCTATCTATCTATCTATCTATCTATCTATCTATCTATCACTGTTTGATCATTATCTCTCTATCGATATCAGTTTCCTCATTATCTATCTATCTATCTATCTATCTATCTATCTATCTATCTATCACTGTTTGATCATTATCTATCTATCGATATCATTTTCGTCTTTATTTATCTATCGATATCAGTTTCCTCATTATCTATCTATCTATCTATCACTGTTTGATCATTATCTATCTATCGATATCAGTTTCGTCTTTATCTATCTATCGATATCAGTTTCCTCATTATCTATCTATCTATCTATCTATCTATCTATCTATCTATCTATCTATCTAAGATTTCCTTAGCCTGCCATTGTAGTGGTTTGTGCGTGTATTGTTCCGCAGCAAAGATAATGTATCTATCTCTCGATCTTGCTTAACGTTTGAAACAATGTGAAAGAATGACATGAATTTGGAAACGGATGGTTAAAAAAAAAACCTCGAACAAAAGAGACGAAACGTTAAGGAGCCTGAACTAGTTAATGACAAATACACATGTAAAACAAAGAATAAATGATGCGATCTATTGTAGAGTCCCTTGTAGGCAAATACACCTTTTCTTCTTGCCAGTCCTCGTGTCTCGTAAAGAGAAAAATCGATTTTTCTCATTAGTATCTTTAGAAACAAAAAAGAATAAAGACTGAAAGAACGTCAACCTTGAATTCGCAAAGGAACATTTGTGAATACATCGCCTTCATTATTATTAGTGTGCCTTGGCGCCAGTTTAGTAAGTTTTAAGTTTCACTTAGTAATGGTCACATAGTGTAGGAATAGTAATGCTGGTCATTCGGAGATATCATGTCGTAAAGTCATTTCATGAAAGAAAAAAAAAGTAAAATATTACAAGTTGATAAAGAAGAAAGAAATCGTATAGATAGATTGATAGATTTTGCCAGGTTGCTAAAACCTACGTTAAGAACGATTCTTTCTCCATTACATGTCATGTCAAAGCATATTGTAATAAATGTTCAATTTTAATAATTACTACCGTTGATTGTGCCTAATTTAGTCATTAAATCTTTGTCAAAAGTATAATACATACATATATATATATATATATATATATATATATATATATATATATATATATATATATATATATTTAAATTGTAAATTGTCTATTTAGGCAGCATTTTTTCATTGATATCTATATATCATTTTTATATATTTTTTTGATATATGTTTTGACTATATTATTTTATTAAATAATACAGACAAGTTTTGTCTATATTATTTAATGAAACATGCATCAATATATATATATATATATATATATATATATATATATATATATAATAATGCATGTGGCCTGACGAAATGAAATAGTCTGTCGCCTCTAAATGTTGACTGAAATGTTCTATATATATATATATATATATATATATATATATATATGTGTGTGTGTGCACTTATGTATATATATATATATATATATATATATATATATATATATATATCTGTGTGTCTGTGTGTGTCTGTGTGTTATGGTCTAGAATGATGATACTTCATCATTCTAAAAATAATCTTGTCAACAGTGATGATAGAAAAGAAGCATATTTCATCATCCTACCCTCATCATTATAAAAACGACCCTTCCACAACAAGAGAGTCAGTAGAATAGAGTAGAATATTGTAGAGAACAGGTAAGTAGACCAGGGTACCTATAGCAATAGTCAGTAGACAAACAGACATGTAGTAGCAGCAGTAGAAGTAGTACAGGAACAGCGCTCCGTGAATATCGAAAATAGAGGATATCAAACGCCATCCTAACAAACGAAATTCTTGGAACCAAACCAAGTAAGCACTGACTTTTAAACAAAAGGCACACTGCGAACATTTTTACACAACCTACCAATATTTTGTAATTCACACCACGAAAAGATAATACAAATTCTTGTTGTTTATGTCAACACGTGTTTCAAGTTTTTTTTATTGTTAGACGTTTTAATTCACTTCTTTTTTAATATAAAAAGAGAAAAAGGATTCCTCCTACACTACAAATACATATAGCAACGTGGTAATTACTTTAACAATACTCAAATAATATCAAGTCGCTATAACTACTACATTAACCCAAAATCCAACTCCATTACTTATATATACGCACACACACACACACACACACACACACACACACACACACACATATATATATATATATATATATATATATATATATATATAAATAATCGTGACCTTTTTATTCAATTCGTTACTTTTCTATTTCATCGACCCCTTTCTATTTCAATCTACATCTCTCTATTCCATTCGTCACTTTTCTATTTCTATCGACGCTTATTTCAATCGAGATTTTTTCTATTTCATTCGTCACCTTTCTTTTTCAACCGACAACTTTCTATTCCATTTTTGACTTTTCTATTTCAATCTGCACCATTCTATTTCGTTCGTCATTTTCGATTTCAAATGCAAAACTCATTTGCGTTTTGAAATCTCTTTCTGGGTAATGATTTTCATTTTTTTGTTGTTGTTTAATTTAGACGACAATTTATCCATCGCACACTGTGTGTGTGTGTATATATATATATATATATATATATATATATATATATATACACCAACAACTTCGACAACAATCTGTGTATACTGTTTCGTTTTACGTTTTCGCGTTTTGCTTTCGGATTTGAAACGAGTGCCAATAGTTAATACTTTGCCAGGAAACGCAGGGGTAAATATAAAAGCGAGACTTCATTCTGAAAATGATCTGTTTATAATAAACATTATTAACTACATTTATCGGCCTGAATTTCCGAGAAATTTCATAGAAAATATGTGATCTCTGACAGGAATCGAAGTTGTATCCTACACGAACCATCATATATTCTGACATGCTATATCATTTAGCTACAGAGGAAGCGTCTGGTTAGCAAATTTTTTGGGACTCCACGTAGGTGTATCTCTCTCCCTCTCTCTCTGTCTCTGCAGGTTGAGAAATTTGGAAACGGCATAATGTATTGCATGGCATTCGCGCTGGAAGCTCCCATAGGAACATTTCAGAGTGTTAGGGTGTCAATCTAAAGACAATGCAGAGGATTTGGAAACAGTTGGATGAGTCTAATGGGTATTGCAAAAGTGTTTGTAGTAATTACTATCAATTGCCTATTTAATGCTGCCCTGTGTTAAGAGTGTGGCTGCTGGAAGAGCCTATATCTGGCAACAGGACTCAGCACCATGTCACATAAGTAGGAGAACCCATTAGTGGAAATCAGACAATTTCTGTGACTACATCTAACTTCTCTAGCCTGCAACATCCTTCATTATTATGTGTGGGGCGCAGTTGAGCGAGAGACCAATTATTAGAAGGATTTGATAATTATATCTAATTAATTCATCGAGTCTGAAAGAAACCATAACAGAATGCAGAAAGCACTGGAAACATATAGAAGCAAACATATAGAAGCCGGTTCAAGCGATGATTATTAGGAGGATTTGATCAAATCCTCCTAATAATTACTATCTGAGTATATCATCGCTTGAACCGGCTAGAGTGAGCGGCTTGGTGAGAGTAGTCGTGTCTCCAGGGGGCACAGTCCTATGGTTACAGAGAACGCAGTATGGTTCCAACACGAATATGTGAGCGCGCGGCGCTATATTGAGACTGATTTGCAATCTCTTCGTAATCGAGGCCCGTTGGGACAGTTGGTATGATGTTTGCTTGACAACCTGACTGTCAGGGTTTCAATTCTGCAGTTTAGTCCCAAATGTAGGACGAAACGGCCGCCCGGTGCTTTCTGAATTCTGTTGAGGTTTCTATCAGACTCGATGAATTAATTAAATATATATATATATATATATATATATATATATATATCTTAGGAGAGTTAAAATTCTTCGTAAATGATTATAAACTCCCTAAGAAAGAGCAAGACGTGAAAAGAGCAAAACAAGTATTATCTCTTATTTGGTTGTGTTTTGTTGGGGTCATATGCAGATCAACAGAATGATCAATAAGGAGTAAGTAACATCTATACAGTCTTTCTTGTAGGTTTAATTTGTAGATTTGTGTAATGAGTTCCAGATAATTTTAAAAAAAATGTCTTACCTGGAATTTTGTTGATTGTTAAAAGATCAACCTTATTATTATGACCCGAAAAAGGAAAAAGAGAAGAAATTTTCGTTGACGCGCGTTTTGACGTCCTGCCCGCGTGAACTTCTTGTCTGATTGTGAGACAGATACGTGCTTGAGTTTGAAAGTGAGGTCAATTCTAATTGGTTTAAAATGAGTGAATTAATGATTATTATAATTGTTATAATTATTTTATTATAATTATTTTTTGACAGCATAATTAATTTTATTTCTTGACTATAGAGCCGACACCATAACAATAAAATTAATTTTTTTATATATGTATTTCTTTATGGGCACGACAATATATATATATATATATATATATATATATATATATATGTGTGTGTGTGTGTGTGTGTGTGTGTGACTGAGTGACTGACTGAGAGACTGACTGAAACTGATTGACTGAGTGACTGAAACTGACTGCCTGAGTGACTGACTGAAAGTGACTGACTGACTGAAACTGATTGACTGAAACTGATTAACTGAGTGACTGATTGAAACTGACTGACTGTGTGACTGACTGAAAGTGAATGACTGACTGAAACTGATTGACTGAGGAAGTGAAACTGACTGAAACTGACTGACTGACTGAAACTGACTGACTGAAACTGATTGACTGAGGGCGTGAAACTGACTGACTGACTGAAACTGACTGACTGTGTGACTGACTGAAATTGACTGATTGAGTGACTGAAACTGACTGACTGACTGAAACTGATTACTGAATGACTGAAACTGACTGAGTGACTGAAACTGACTGAGTGACTGACTGAAAGTAATTGACTGAAAGTGATTGACTGAAACTGGCTGACTGACTGAAACTGACTGACTGAAACTGATTGACTGAAACTGACTGACTGACTGACTGACTGAAACTGATTGACTGAGGAAGTGAAACTGACTGACTGAGTGACTGACTAACGGAAACTGACTGAGTGACTGAAGCTGACTGACTGAGTGACTGACTAACGGAAACTGACTGAGTGACTGAAGCTGACTGACTGAGTGACTGACTGAAACTGACTGACTGAGTGACTGAAACTGACTGAGTGACTGAAACTGACTGACTGAGTGACTGAAATTGACTGACTGGGTGACTGAAACTGATTGACTGAGTGACTGACTGAAACTGATTGACTGAGTGACTGAAACTGACTGACTGACTGAAACTGACTGACTGAGTGACTGAAATTGACTGACTGGGTGACTGAAACTGATTGACTGAGTGACTGAAACTGACTGACTGACTTTGTCTTTATTTTATTATGGATCCGAGGTGTATACTGTCACGTCTTTCATTCTAATTCCAGATCAGTTTCTGTTCCACTTCTTAAACAAATGGTAAGTGGAATGTAAGAAGCCGAAGAGAGTTCCACAAGAGAGAAGTATGAGAGAAGGAACGGTTACCATAAATCCTACGATAACGTCTAGCCATTTCACCTGTAAAATGATAAGTCATTGCCGCAATTAAAGTCTAGATACCAAAGAGAAAAGTTCATTACAAGGATTATCATGACAATATTTATAGAAGTGACAAAGTTATGGTGATGGAAATGTGACTGTAACCGAGATGTTAGGTCAGAACCGATAACATTGCAGATTCTTCTTTGGAAGTATTACTGATGATCCATGCCCAAAACATAAAACCGGTCAGTGCCATTAAGCCACGCACCAATAAACCACGATGTCACTTAAGCCGCGCATGCGTGATGGACGCCAAAACTTTTTGTCATGTTCATATTAGAATCATAATCATCAGTGGATCCCAATTTGAAACAAATTCAAACTTGATTGTAACACTTTTAATGTCTGATTTTTTCTGTATATTGTCTTATTTTAATAAATTTATTAAACTGAGTTTTAATACCTTCAGTGTATCTGTATTTTCCCAGGCATTTACTATTGTTTAGTCTTTGGCGTTTCACACGATTGTGTAGTGGTTTGGCTTAGCACTTCGCGGACATTTTGAGTGTGAAATATGTAGCTTAGGACCTTTATTCTAACTTAAAAAATTACATCAACAGGATTTACTTTAATATCGATAATCTGCTTTTCTAAATAATTTATATAATCAGCAGAGAATTATGTACATGTAAATTTATTAAAAATGTTTCGTATTAATTTTTTAAAATTTGTATGGTATCATTACATTGCATAGAAACCTGTGTTTGTACGTAGATGTTACTACAATCTATGGTTATATTATTTTTATTAATACATTACAATATTGTATTGTTTTTAAAAAAAATCATAATAAAACAAAAAAATAATTGTATTTTTTTCTTCTTAAAATGTTTCAAATCTCGTGCGAACGAGATTTCCGCCATCTTTTGCTGTCATGATGGATCTATTGACATGGCGCTTTATAATTGGAATCGTTTTAGGCCGTCGTCTTTCAAATTTATTCACATTGGTGAAGATTTTTATGTGAAATTAAAGGATAGTTTTGATAAACGATTTTTCAAAACTGCCAATATTCAACTCTTAGTATTGAATACGCACTTTGCATGCTTAGCCACTGTGTTACCCATTTTCGCAGATAACTCCGTGGACTTGACAAGATTTGTTTTGATGGTCTAAGCTGGCAATCCTGACATCACGGCTCCATTTTGATCTAAACCGTGGACCATCTAAATCGCGGATAGAAGTTTTAGACCACAACTACCACGGGTTATCAGCGCCGACCTGTAATTCTCTGCTGAACAGGGTTATTACTCCTTCAGACAAAGGCGCAGAGAAGCTACGTTAAGGCGGTGGGAAAGTGACTGAAGCCGAGATATCAAGCCAGGATCGATAATATTGCAGATTTTTCTTTGTATTTTAACAAGTTTCACTAAATACATATCAGAATCGCCAAACTAGATGTGACAGAAATATTCAGTGCAAGGGCTTATAAATGAGTAAGATAGATTCTGTCAAGAAAAAAATTGTCAGACAGTAGTTGATTTAGACATGATCTTACGAAATACGACAGAAAAAATACGCATTTTGTCTTCTGTTCTTTAAAGTTTAAATATAAGAAAAACCTATTTATTTAAGGTTTGATTTTATGGTCAACTCACATGAGTATCAACCAATGGCAGATCAGACGCCTGCGTTCTCTCCGAGAAATACTTGATTGGGTTGGTTTCGCCACAGAATAGCGTTTATTTATTTCACTAGGTTTATAACTAGTTTTAATTTCAGTGCAATGATTCGGTTGTCTCAGTTTTTCGTCATATACATGTAGTTCGATGCGTATTAGTGGGAATTTGTAGCCCGTATCGTTCCCAAGATGTGCGTAAAAGGATCGAGATAGCAGAGAGCGAAATTAAAAGCCTTTTAAAATGCGCTGTGCAGCGACATCCCAAACTCCGTGCGACGCGAACGTCATTAAAAGGGAGAAAAATAGCAATGTAAAAAAAAAAAAGAAAGAAAGAAAGAAAGAAAGAAGAGTGAGAGAAAGAAAGAAACAGAAAAAGTGAGGAGGAATGGTAGTTGATGGATTGATTCGTTTTCTACGGCTTATCAACTGTTTGCAGGTTAGAAATGAAAGTGAAGTTCGGAGATTTAAACAAAAAAAAAAAAGAAAAAAAAAGAAAAAAAGAAGCTAACAGCCAATGGAAAAAGAAGGAAAAAAATAGAATAGAAATGATAACAAATGAGAGATGGGTTGAAAAATTAAAAGAAAATGAAGGCGCATAAGATGTAGAAAGAAAGAGAGGGTGAGAATGAGCGAAAGAAAGTGAGAGAGAAATGAGAGAAAGTAAGGAAATGCGCATGAGAGAGAGAGAGAGAGAGAGGAAAGTAAGGGAACGAAAGGAAGCAAGAGAGAGGGGAAAAGTGAAAGAAATAAAGGAAGATAGAGAAGGGTAAAAGTGAGAAAGAAAAGAAGGGAGATAGAGGGAAAGTGAGAGAAAGAAAAGAGTGAGGAAAAGAAAGAAAGAAAGAATGGAAAAGAGAGAGAGATATTTGAGAGAAAGAATGGAAGAGAGATATAGAGATAAATTGAAAGAAAGAAAGAAAGAAAGAAAGGAAGAGAGATAGAGAGTGGAAAAGTGAAAGAAAGAAAGTAAGAGAGAGAAAGAGAGAGAGAGAGGAAAGTGAGAGAGAGAAAAGAAAAGAAAAGAGAGAGGAAGTGTGAGAGAAAGAATGGAAGAGAGATATAGAGATAAATTGAAAGACAGAAAGGAAGAGAGAGAGAGAGAGGGAATAGAAAACTGAAAGAGAAAAGAAAGGAAGAAAGAAAGAAAGAGGGGATGTGAGAGAAATTAAGGAAGAGAGAGAGAGGGGGAGAGGAAAGTGAGAGAGAGAAAAGAAGAGAGAGAGAGAGGAAAAGTGAGAGAAAGAATGGAAGAGAGATATAGAGATAAATTGAAAGACAGAAAGGAAGAGAGAGAGAGAGAGAGAGAGAGGGAGTAGAAAACTGAAAGAGAAAAGAAAGGAAGAAAGAGAGAAAGAGGGGATGTTAGAGAAAGGAAGGAAGAGAGAGAAAGAGAGTGGGAGAGGGAGAGGAAAGTGAGAGAGAGAAAAGAAGAGAGAGAAGAAAAGTGAAAGAAAGAATGGAAGAGAGATATAGAGATAAATTGAAAGAAAGAAAGGAAGAGAGACAGATAGAAGAAAGGTGAAAGAAAGAAACTAAGAAAGAGAAAGAGAAAGAGAGAGAGAGAGAGACAGAGGGGGGAGTAACAAAAGTAAGTAATAAAAAAAGCTAAAGAGAAATGAAAATGAGAATTGGAGATTTAAAAAGGCAACCGACAATAGACTATAAAAGGAAAGTCAAAACAATAAGAATGAAGACAACTGTAAAGAGAAAATAATGACGGAAGAGAGAAAGAAAGAAAGAAAAAGAATCAATGAGAATAATACCTTTATAGAGAGAGCAAAAAAAAAAAATTCTTTTTCTTCTTCTATGTACAGTCTCTCTTCAGGACGTGCGCAATCATGACTCTCCTCAACTTCCTATCCTTGTAGTTTTTAGTATCTCTTTGAATTTTGACATCCCTCCAATCGCGTTCCGCTATCCATTCAGACAAGCTGGTCAGGTAAAATGGCCCGCTGTTTCTCTCTGTCCATATTACCTTCTACATATCCTGATAGTGTCAAATTCTCTAAGCTCTTTTTCCGCATTATATGTCCAAGCCCTATTATTTATCTCTTTAAACTACAAAATGGAATTTTTTTTTTTTTTAAGCATTTCACCCCAAGCAAGGCGGGAAGCCACTAGGACGCAAGGGGTTACAGAAAGTTTAGAACAAGATCAGATAGGAGTGATAGAAGAAAGGATGAGGGTAGTGGATAGATCAAGGCAACTGGAGATGTCGATTGACATTACACTGGAGATTATAGCTCACAGGGAAACAGGAATAGAGAAGGGAGTTCCACAGGCGAGAGGTGCGAGACATGAAGCTATTAGAGTAGAAGAGACGGCTACATTTAGGAGTTTCGACAGTGAAAGGGTGAGAGCGGGATGCCAGCCTCGTATGGCGCTTGAACTCATGACGTCTGGGAACCAGCGAATGCAGCTCCTCGGAGCAATTGCCATGAAAGTATTTGTAGAACAGACAGAGGGAGGCGACGGCGCGTCTGTGAGAAAGTGACTGTAGACGAGACGCCAGAGCAGGGCCAACTACATTGCATATCCGCCTCTGGAGCCTATCAAAAACCCCGAGGCAGACAGAAGGGGCACCAGACCATATATGGCAGCAAATAGTAAATGAAATAAAGAATGGGCAATTAGAAAAAGAAAAGAAAAGAAAAGAAAAGAAAGAAAGAATTTGAATAATTAGATAATTAGAGAAACGGCAAAGTAGGTAAAGGGAAAGATAAGGAGAGAGTGTATGAACAAAATGAAGGTAGATATGTTAAGTGAAATGAAAAGGATAATGTAAAAAAGAAAAAGAGATAAATAGAGTGGGAGCAATGAATTAATGCAGAGAAAAAGAAGAATACACACACATACACCCACACACATACACAGAGAGAGAGAGAGAGAGAGAGAGAGAGAGAGAGAGAGAGAGAGAGAGAGAAGAGATGCTAAACTACCCAATTTTTGTACTATGATGGCCAACAACTGGGAACCTGATGATATCATTCTGATGCTTTATAATCATGTGTAGCTAATGGTGGAAGCACGGGGAAGTAATGGAATGAAGAATTGGAGAGCCGAGTTCGAATTCCAGTCGAATCCATTACATTCACTTATATGTTAATACCTTTGGGAAAGATATGAATCCTCTTCTCCACCACCAGCTATGGGTAAATAGCAAGACAGACCGAGTTCTATAGCCTTGGATGACAATTCGTCTACCACAGAAAGAAATGGCAACCCACTGCGGGGAAAAAAACTGCCTCGTCAGTCATGTATCGAAAGATACATGATTGCCTAAGCGTTTATCACGCATGGCACATAACTGACTGAGTGTAATTAATGTAGCACAGTGTGTATTCTCAGCATCAATCAATCTTAATTCAATGCAACACAAACCAATCAAGATAACTGGAGACTGACAGTGTCGCATACGGTTTATTACGGAATAGAACGATGAAGGTAGTGCCTGTAGTCATTGGATCACTTAGTTTTAAAAAAAAGGATCAGATAATGAAGAGGTTTATCTTATGTTATATTAATAATACGACAAATTTCTCTTTTTTTTTTAAACCTGGATTGTACAAGTAATAAAGTATATCCTAGGAAGAATAGTGTTGATAAACGAAAACTATTTGCACCGTGATATAAGAGAGACTTGATCAATGCATGTAGAGAGAGAGAGAGAGAGAGAGAGAGAGAGAGAGAGAGAGAGAGAATGAGAGAGAGGGGTGAGAGAAGGTAAGTGGGGAAGATGGTAGGCAGGGGGAAGATGGTGGAAAAGAAAGAAAAAATAAAAAAACGGGCAAGTTGAAAATGAGATGAGAACACACACACAGTATGTGGAAAAAAAATAAAAAAATAAAAAAACGGGCAAGTTGAAAATGAGAATAGAGAACACACACACAGTATGTGTGTGTGTGCGTGTGTGTGTGTGTGTGTGTGAGAGAGAGAGAGAGAAGGAAGCGGGGGAAGATGGTAGGCAGGGTAAGTGAAAGAAAGTGGAAAAGAAAAGAAAAAAAGGAAAAATCGGACAAGTTGAAAATGAGAATAAAAGAAATAAATAAATAAAGAAAGAAAGAAAGAAAGAAAGAAATAAAGAAAGAAAGAAGAGGAGGAAGAAGAAATAACAAATTGAGAAAGAATTGAGTAAGAAGGGGAAAAGGAAAAAAAATAAGAGAATAATGAGTAAATACAAAAGAATAAGAAAAGAAGAATAAGAAAAGTAAAGAATGAAAAACGAAACTGGAGACTGAACATTTACAAAGGAAGTGGCAAAGAATAAAGAAAGAAAGAAAGTGAAAGAAAGAAAGAAAGAGAAAAAAAGAAAGAAAGAGAAAGAGAAAAAAAGAAAGAGAAAGAGAAAAAAAGAAAGAGAAAGAGAAAAAAAGAAAGTATTCTGCTGTAGAATCGCGTTTCTATTACCACCAGTTTTTTTTTTCATCTGTGCAGCGATGTTATAGCATTCACTGCCATATTGAAGGACTGACGTTATTGGCATTCAGACGTGTCTGGGTATATAGTTTAGCTAATTTCATTCAGTTTTCTTGTCTTTTTTTCATCACTTTATTTTTGTGTCTTTGTTTTTTTTATCATTTTTTATTATTAAATATCTCACATTGTGATAATAGACGAGCTGCCATGAAAGGTAAAATACGGTAAGAAACTGGATACATCTCTACAATCATACCACTTTCTATACAATTTCACCAGAGTAAATCACTTCTTTTTTTTTTTAATTAAAGTAGCATTGTTTTAAAATTAAACTTATGGCCAGACTCATTGAAGTGACTGCGAACATTTCTTGAACTTTCCGACATCTTTTACAGCGACCAACCTCCTTCGAAATCATCGAGGTCAATGCACTGAACTTTAAACAGTTCGTCATCATTCAAACCTGTTATTCCCACTCTCCTATTCTCAACGGATTTCCCAAGAGGCTTTTATAACCGAGCATTTCCGGTTGTACGACAGGTTGGTTTATTATGACGCTTCTTCACAGATTCATTCAAAATGATTTTGTTTTTGACTCCCTTATTTGTTCTAAAAACGCAGAGATCTCCTATTCGACACTGTCAGTCTTTCAAAAGCATTCGAAGTGAACAAGCAAAGCATCTCTGTCTTTTTTCTTTCCTGCTACTCGTTAATTGTTTTACAAGGTTTTCTTCTGTTATTTTTCACAATTATTGCATCTCTATCAACTTTACAATAATATCTTCTTTTTTGTTTTAAGTCTATTGGCATCTTTCATTTCTGGTGTCATTAGCGAATATATTGTTACTGATTATAAAAGGAAGGCATATTTAACTACATTTTACTGTTTCTACCGATCAGGAAAACGACACAGTTACACAATTAAGATTTTGACAGCTAAGCAATATTATAATTATAAAAAAAAATTATTTTGCCATTAACTTCTGCATTAATTTCTGACCAATGACAATTTTTGTCCTTATTTTCATTGACCAGTAAATAATTTCTAACTGTTGATACTGCCTCTAATCAAATCGCGAAATGAAAGTTATCTTAAATGGCCGCTCTTCTAGATCCTTTTAATGTAGATGTTCCCCATGGCTCTATCCTTGGACCTATACCGTTCCTAATTTTCATAAATGACCTTCCTGATGTCATCAGTTCTCAGCTCGATATCTATGCCGATGACACAATTATTTACTCCTGTTTTATTAGTAATTCCGATCAGTTCGATGTAGACAAATTGGCAGCTGATCTAAAAAATGACCTAAAATCTGTTGTTAAATGGAGCAAGGAGTGGCCTGTTAATCTTAACGCTTCCAAAACTAAACTATCTCTTTTAATCGAGAAACACTTTTTACTTTACATCAGTATGGCTGATGCTAACCTCCAAGAGAATGGGTCATAGTTCCTTCTCAGACTAACATTTTCCGCTGCAATGAGATGGATAGTGTATATTAAATCAATTGTTAAGTTTCCATCTGGGAAGTTAGTTCACTGTATCGTGATAGACAATTTTTCTTGACAGAATATATTTTACACATTTATAAGACTACCATTTGTCTTTGCTTTGAATATTGTTGCCACATCTGTTCTAGTGTTCTTGCTATATATTTAGAGATTCTAGATAAAATCCAAAAAAGAATCTGCAGTTGGTCTCAACCTGGCATCTCGGTTTTGTTAACTTCCGGCCAAGGTCACCCTGTGCCTTTTCTATAAATAGTTTCATGGTAATTGTTCTGATGAATTTACCTCTATTGTACGTAGACTTTATGAATTTAAGCGCAGTACTAGATTTTCGGCAAGATCTCATCTTTTTATAGCTGAAATGGATAGATGCTAACAGTTTCTCCTATCGTACTTCCCGCTTGTGGAACTTCTTCCGGCTTCTTGCTTCCCTGTCAATTTTAATCTTCAAAAATGAACTGCAATGTCAATTGTTATATTCTGGATTCTTAATTCTTGTTCTTTTATTGTCTTTTCTCCTTAACGGTAAATTTTTCTCATAATCTTGCGTTTTAGTTTCTTTATTGTCTTGCTTGTGTGAAATGATTAAAAAAAACATTTTTCTTAATATTATTGGCCACTAATTAAGTTGCTGGCCACAATCTATTTTATTCTTAATTTCATTGACCACTAAGTAATTGCTGTTTAGCTACACTGATGATCTGTGATACAGAGAAACAGTCTGTCTGTGGATGACAATATATATATATATATATATATATATATATATATATATATATATATATATATATGATAGCGATATATAAATGTTTATGAGACATAGACGAAAGGTTTATGACAATGTCTAAAAAGTTTTCGTATGACGCGTTTCGTCTCTTAGAACGTCATCGAACTAGATTTTTTTTATCTTCATGCGGCTACACATGGACGAGAGACGCTGGGAAATTTAGATTTTTTTTATTATGCTTATCCCCCTGTGCAAGGCCCGGGGCACTCGAGGTAGAGTATTAATTTACTAGTGAGACAGGAGTAAAATAACAGATACGAACTTTCAGTTGAAAGTGATGTTCTTCTTTCTAGTTTCACCTAAACTAAATAAGTTACGACAATGAACATTTTCTGTCTGAATTTCTGGGATGAGGAGTTATCATTATTCAAATTATTTATATTCAGTCTGTTGTCTTCATCTTTGTTGCGATTATCCCGTCATTTCGGCCTTTAGACTCTTCAGCCTTCCTCAAGTGTGTATCGATATGGGTAACCTACAGTAAATTCTGAATTGAACCCTTTATTTAATCTCCAGAGATATATTCTTGTTTCACTGCTCAAGTCTACGGATATCGTCTAGTTTTTAGGACTCTTCAATTATTGCTCGCTAGTTTCCTGGTTTTTTCTTTCTTTTTTTTTTTTTTCTTTTTTACAGTAAGGTTCACCGTGTACAAGGCACGGAACCCCTCTAGGTAGAGTGTGACGCTAAGAGGCAGTTTATACAGGTAGAAAAGGAAGATAACGGTTAACCCTAGACTTGAACAGGTTAAGATTGTAGTGATCAGGGAAACATCCTCTTGGGTGTCGGTTCCACAGAGCAGGGGTTCGCGAGAAGAAGCTGTTCGAGTGGAACTTACTTCTCACCGATGGAATACAGAGGGAATGTGGGTGGGGTTTGCTACTATGTAAATGGCATGGTGGGTACTAGCCGTGAAGGTTAGAAGTGTCCGAACAACAGAATGTAGTTCTTCCGAGCACTTTCCATTGTAGTAGCGATAGAGTAGTCAGAGACTTGCCATATCTAGCCTCTGTTTGTGCGCGTGTGTGTGTGTGTGTGAGAGAGAGAGAGAGAGAGAAAGTTGGAGGGTTAATATAAAGTAATTCAACACCCACAGGGACTCGTAGAAGCTTTTGAACGCTGCCGAGGCTGGGAAGTGAGGATTGGGTAGCTCCCGCCCATACATCACAACAATTCCCCATTTTCGGCCTGACCTGGATCTTGTAAACGTAAAGGATAGCAGGAGGAGTCCAGTACTTACTGGAGCGGTACAGGGTACCGACTATTTAACCCGCATATT